CCTGTTATTTACAATATATGGTGTTATTATTTCAGGGTTACCATCATCTGCCAAGTCATCAGAACGGTGCTGTACTTAATTGCAGAGACAAGGGGGAGGGGAGCAGAGAAGCATCTCTATTTAGTATGGTACCTATTGCTTCTCACTGTGATCGTGTCAACATTTCCACAGTACCTGCCTTGTTTCGAAGCACAGATACCATTCATTAAAAGAAAAGGGTGAAAAAAAGCTTTTCCGGCCCAAAATAGAAGGTAATGATATTATCCCAAGCTTGATTAAAGTTCTTTACTTTGAAAAACTAGAGCTTCAGTAAGCAAACAATTCAAATCAGTTCATTAGTTCATAATAAAATTTAGAGCAAACTGCTCTTAAAGGACTCTAGCAGATGCCTAGTTAATCAACTGCATAACCACACACACGGTAGAGTTAAGCTTCCAACAATTTGCCATGATGTCAACAGTCAGCCCAGGGAGCACTGCTCTTAAGTCAGGCTGAGCTCCTAAGACATGGCAAATCTCAGCATCACACAACAATTCACCCAAGTTCCAAACACCCATCTGTGCTGCGAACTGAAGACCTGCACCATGCATCCCTGAAGCACCTCACTTAGGTTTTTTTCCCCCCTTCCCCTCTCTCTAGCTCTTGGGGTTTTTTGGGTTTGTGGTTTTTTTTTTGGTTTGTGTTTTTTTTTTTTTTTTTTTAAGATATGGTTGCTCACCTTAAACATTTTGCAGAATGCTCTGCAGTGGGTCTTTGAACAGAAAAGTTGATTTTTATACATTTTATACTGATATGAAGAATGGCATATTTCTCAAAAAAATTGAAGAGATGGTAATTTACAGTTATAGCGCCCTCACCCCATTAGTTTAGGATCCTACTGAGGTAGATGCTTGGTTATAAACTTAATAAATTCAAGCAGATATTAAAATGATCTTTTGAGATGAGGTAAAACAGTGTTAAGGTCGGGGGGCAAGTTCTTGCTTCCAGCATGCATGTGTGGTTTGGCTTCTTTATTTTGTTTCCTTGTAAACCAAAATCAGCATGAAACTGGAGTAGGAAATCACAAACATCTTTCCCATATTACAATGTTTGTAATGCAACCAGAGGGGTTTGAGGAAGAGACTGGACTTCTTTCTGGGTCCTTTTATCTGCTGAAATTACCTTAGCAAACAGTTTTTTAAAAAGCCCAACACTGAAAAAGCTAATATGCATTATGTCACTGTCTCCCAGAACAACAAAAAACACAAGACAGACCCCACAACCCTTTGGACGAAGAGTTCACACACTTCACACTGTTTTTGAACGCAGCTCAGGCAAGGAGCATAGTATGAGGGCCTTCAGCAAAGCTCTTCTCTTAAGCTTGATCCAAAATGAGGACAGCCTTACCTCCATCCTCACTGCTATGATCTCCTACCACTGCCAGCTATCAGCTAGGAAGTTGCTGCCTCCATACAAAAGCTAAAAGCACACAGACCTCAGGAGTCACAGGAGGTCCAGTCCCCCTCCCCGAAGGATCTCACCCAACTACACAAGCTCCGGACACAGAGATTCAAGGTCTGCAGCCAGAGGTGGTATGCTTCAGTCTCCTCCTCCTTACTCTTTTGGACCTACTCCTCACGTTGCCTGCTGCCTCCATACAGCTCTTTAGCTCCACACTTAAGGAGAGGTGTAAATAAAAAGCAGGGATGGTTTTCAAGGCCTATTTCTTTTTGGAAAAAAAAAAAAACGCAATGAATAAGTAGGTGGAATTTAACTTCCAGAATTTTGACAGAGCGTTTTGCTGTTGCCTTTATACAAGCACATATGCTTCTTTCGGAGGAAAAGAGAAAAAGGGAAGGGTTTCTACGACAAGGCTAAGAAGTTTTATTTGTTGGTTTTACATACCAGTAAGATCAAATTACAGGTATCGAGGGACATTTATTTTGATGCTAAATACCTTATGTTAAGATGTCAATTAAAGTTCTCCTGAAGAGGAAAGTTCCTCGGCAAAAAACGAATGCATTAAGCACGAGTACACCATTCCCCAGAGGACAGAATATAAAACAACCTGTCAAGTAATCAAAGATAACCAAAGAGAATGTGTTAACTCCCTGATGTTTTTTACTGTTCGGCATCAGGTGAATGCAAGCTCTTTTACCACCTGACGGAGCCCTGTTCTATTAATTCCCTGCTTCTCTCTTTCCATACCACTTTTATCAGCACTAAAAAGCTTCACAAACTGGTGGCTGACAAAGACATACACTGACGGTGCATTATTTTAAGGACAACATCAACTCCAACCAGCCAGCAAAAGCTGTCAAGCATACACACCACTTAAAAAGCCAAATAAAACACAGCTATGCTTTGAGACATGCTGAACTGCTAATGAAAATTAAGTTGTATTCAGCACTAGAAGTCCGTACTTCTTACGCGCTGGTAAGGGAGAGTCATGGAATTCGGTTTGATGCATCTATAAGTAAGGATTGTTCATCCTTAATTCATAAGAGAAGGCAACAAGAAAATTTCATGAATTCAACAAACTTCCAAATAAAACTTCCCATATTTTGACTGAAAATATGCAACGTGGTACAAGATACTTGTAGGAATGGGAAACAGCTGTAACCTGGAAGTCAGAAATGCACCCTACACCAAGAAGACACCCTAATGCACGTTTAAAATAACAACTGCCCAAGTAGAAGACTTGACTACACAGATACAAGTACCTAAAGTAAGAGCTCTACTCAACCAAGAGCTCCCCTGAATTATTTTAAAAATAAAAAAAACAAACCCACACCATGAACAAGAACTGCTAAGTTACTTGGGTTGGTTTACTTTAAAACAAACAACACCCCACAAAAAAATTCACCCACAGGTAAAGCTAAAGAAAAATCTCAAACACCAAGACCAACATACATTGTGAAAGATCAGTATTAAGGTCTAACTTCTCCTACTTCAGCAAATTGAAATGAATGGACAAAGTCTGGCCTAGGAAATGCAAATGACTTTTTTCAGACTACATAGACGAAAATATTTCTACTCTGAAGCTCAACTTGTTGCAACATGTTTTTAAAATTAAAAGAGCACTTTCCCCTCTCTCCTGGAATTAGTCTTAAGTAAGAATGTTTTTGAATACAATGCATAAAGAGAAGGAAAAAGCAGAATTCTTTGCTCTACATGTTGGAAAAAAAAAAAAAAAAAATCGCATACACAACCTTCCGAGCTACTTTTAAAAGCTACGTAAAGATCATCTAAATTCCTTACACTATGACTACTTACCTTTTTCCCTCCTGTTACAAATTGCTTGAAGTGGGATCTTACGAAATGAGGATGAACAGCAACAATCTGAGCATGGGGCAGGGGGGAAGAAGGGAAAAAAAGAGGATTGTGGCTTAAATACGAGTTTACAGGAAGCATCACATTACTTTTTAAACTAGGTAATTCAGCTGTAATGCTTGGCATTTGGCAAAGGTTCTTTCTCTGAAGTAGAGCCTAGTTATTTCAGACATCTCAGGATGGTGGTGTCTTTTTTTTCCTAGAAAAGATGACAATTCTCCATATTGTAAGGCATGTGGTAAGTCACAGACCTGACACCAAGGGCCACTGAACAGTTCACTTACACTGAACAACTCTTTTTGCACAGTACACAGCAGAATCTGGAGTGTGAGCACAGGACTGCTGTCAGCAAGGGTTACTCTGAATAAGTTTTGTCTGGGACCTGCCTAGATGACACATACCCCTCAGTCCTGCCGCAGGACAACCTTGTGTAGTATCAACTCACCTTAAACAGCCTCTTCGCCTTATGTGTTACATGCCAAGTGTAGGAAATCCAGCTGTAAGAGCAGGAAGGCACTAGGAGCCAAGTGAGTTGCATCTGATGTGTGTGAAAACTTAATGAGTTTATTCCTTCCCCCCCCTCAAGAGCAGCTGCAACAGGGAAGACCCCAAGCAGCAGAATGCAATCATTTGCCCACACTGCCTTTCCTCCTGCAAGAACAGCTTCTTGTTAAAAAGCCAGATTTTCCAATACGACTACTAGAAGTCCTTTTCAACACCGAAACAGCCAAATGTCTCTCAAGCAGAGTATAACTGAAGTGTTCCCTTCAGACAGGGTACCTCAGCATCGTCACCCTTTGCCTTATCTTAAGATGGGTTTAACAGATACGAATTGGTTGCAAAATAATGACCTCTCAGTTAACAGAAACCTCAGAATTCGTATCAGAGATCTGCAAAAAAATAAATATGTTGAGACAGGTAACAGCTGAAACAGGACAATTTCTCTTTCACTTTGCCTTTTGTATTTGCAAAACTCAATAAAACTTCTTACAAAACCAAGATTGGCTTTCTTCCTGCCTAACCAGATCAAAAGCTTTTATATTGAGATAGCTAACTATTTTCTAGTGACTTGAATAACATTACAAGGAAGTGGTATTCCTCTCTCTCATTCAGATTCAATGTGACCTTTCTGTTATTAAAGACAACAACAACACAATTACTAAAGATTAAAAGAAGCACTTACTTTAATAGGACAGTCAAAGGTTTCATGAAACTCCTCCGCTGAATACAATCCAAACACCTGCACCTAAAGAAGTATATAAAAAAAACAAATATATTTACCTAATAACAACTTGACAAAGATGAATGTAAATTACCAACAATTAGAAGATTAATTTGAATGCTGTTACATCTTTTCTCCTAAAGTGAAAGTCATATTTAACAATTAAGAGTTAATTCAGACATCGTTGGCTTTTATTATGGCGTATGTCTAAATATTTTCAGCAGTGCAAAAGAACTTATTTCCATCTTCTTTGTTTTGTTACAAACACAGCAAAAACTACAAGTTCCATTTGCTTTAGGCTGATTAAATCTGTTTAACAGATACTGATCTAAGTAAGGTAAGAGCAACATAACATTCAGGTGAAGAAAAATTAAAAACTCTTCCTTTCTGAAAAAGAACTTGAGGACTTATTCCCCTCCAAGCAATACAGGGTTTACATAAGAAAAAAGAAATTTGTGACAATAAAGCAAAGCCAGCCTGAAAACTAATTCCCATATGGTTCTTGGCATCCTCTCCTCCTTCCAAGCGCATTCAGTGCCATTTTGTTCCACGACCATTGGAAACGTCCTTCTCTGAAGATTCCTCCCTTCCCACCTACTTTGATGTCTCAGTACGTTTAATAGTCAGCACTGAAGTTATAACCATAGACTATCAGAATACCTATCAGAATTAATCCACCTGAAGAAGGCTCAACATTAAATAGCCAAACAAAAAAAGTATGTTTCTACTGACAAGAGAATTAACAGTTAGAAATCTTTTCTTCCCTTTAGTTACAGAACAGGTACAGAGGTATCAAGTGTTAAGTAGTATTATTAGATTTAGATGCTCTGACTACAGAACAGGGTTGCTCAAGCTTTTTGTAAGTACAACCCTCTTTTGGGCTCATGTCTCTTCATCCAACATGCAACATCTCGTTCCCCAATTCTCAGATGAGACAGTCGACAACTCAGCTCCTGCAGAACTTAAAACAGGGCTGAAGACTTACAGCCAGGAATTAGTAATTGATTTACTAATTATGATTTCCACAAAGAATAATAACTGGTTTGCTTTTTCATTATAATTTTAAGAGCTTTCCACCCACTGCCAGATGCTGTTGGAACAACATCACTCAGCAGGGACGGACGCTGCTGGTGGGAGATGGGAGAGAAGACCATCCCATCGAGACATCGGGGAAAACTATATCTGACAGCAAATCTACTGTAGAGAGGTTTATAGTCATTCATCCTTTTTCTGGAAAAGGTAAGCTCTTCAGTAACTCTGCTCTGCATACTCAACAAGTTGAACTCAAAGATCTAAGAGATCTTTTCATCTTATTTCTTTCTCTCTCCTTATCCCCACTGTAATTCCTTCAGAGGGAAAACAAAAAATAATAGTAAAAAGAATGAAAAAAACCCAAAGATCTGCAGAACAAAGCCAGTAAATACCAGCAATGGGCCACAAAAAGTAAGGCTTAATGGCTCTAAAAAGATCAGTTCAGAGGACAAGAACCCCCAAAATTCCTGCAGACAGTCAAGGAGACAGAGCAAAAAAATTAGACTTCAAGTAAAGTACAAGAGGAACTAAGCCATCAGCGAGGAACCAAGCCATCCTTAGAGCAGCTCAAAGTTCAGCAGTCTCATGAAGTTAAAAACGTCTCAAACCACCTCATCTCCCTTTCAAGCTGGTCTCCTGGATACATCTCCTAAGCAGCATTATCAGCTCTGTCCATTACTCATTAGCGAATATACTGCCTCTAACAACACGCTTTAAAAATACTGCTGCATGCACTGTGTAGGGCTGAGCTCCTGCTTCAAAGGATTGGAAAATCAATATTTGGAGACAGTGAGATGCATCGCAAAGCTGTGATTATGTAAGCCAACCAAAGGGGTTTATTTGAGTTGGGCCTGGCTGTAAGCCTAGAAAACCTTCGGGCTGATGTCTAGAGGATTTTGTTTTCCGGGTTTTTGTTTTCATCAGTTGGCACAGCATATCCAATGCAACAGACTAAAAATAAGAAACAGAGGAAAGAGAAAATAAGACAGAAGAAAAGAGGAAGAAAAACAATAGTGGTTGAAACACAACACTGCAAATTCCATGGAAGCTAAATCCTCAAAAAAACCCCAAAACATCCCTCTAAAATTCCAAATTCCATGGAAGCTAAATCCTCAAAAAAAACCAAAACATCCCTCTAAAATTCATTAATCAAAATTAACATTAGCAACAGTGCCTTCAACATTCTCATAATACTGCAGCAAGCATGGCAATATGATATTCCTTTACGAGTATCAAACCAAAATGGAGCCAGTTAGCTAAAGAGGAAAAAACAACTCAGCATAAAATACATGTTATTATGTTTACTCTAGGGATATATCATAACAGTTTATTACTTCTTAATGTCTTTTATGTTATTATGTTTACTCTAGGGATATATCATAAAAGACATTAATAAGTAATAAACTGTTACTCTTCAGAGAAAAAGTGATTCTTTTGATATTACAAATCATATTGGATTCACCTATTTCTACTTTTTATCTTCACTCAGCTCATGAAGTTTTTGGGTAGCTAGAAAAAGGATTTCATGATGAGAGCTGACTAGATTTTGCCAGTCCTCTCCGATTTTAAAAATCCAGAACCCACCACTCCAGTGCATCCAGACTTGGCTGTTTCTTTGCTTCCACATGTGGAGGAAGCATCCAACCTTCAGTGATCAAAAGGCAGGAAAACAAACACATTTTATCTACAAGCCACATTTATTGAAAAATGATCAACGTAATACTTCAGATATTCTCAACATAAATGTTTTTACGGGCATTAAACATGACACTAAAACACGTAAGCACATGGGTTTTCAAGAATTTATATTTCAATAAATTACATTTCTTTGCATTAAAAAGTTACAAGCCAATAAGGGTGCAAATTATATCACTGTTATGTAATGACATGAGAGCTTTAGCAAAATGGGGAGTCAGATCCAGGTTTTTTCAAGAAAGCATACAAGTAGGCAAAAAACTAACCTAAAATAACTCTATGGCACTGAAATAGCAAGCCTGCTTCCCCTTCCATTTATTCCAGCATCAGAATTGTCCTCTTCTACCCTAATATTTCCATCCCCAGACACTTTCCACAGCCAGGGGCCAGACTAGAGTGGTGGTGGTAGTTTTCTGTTCCTTTCCACGCCAGTGGTGACCAGCTGCAGCAAGACCACTGGCAAGGAAGATTTTCAAAGAACCAAGTGTGTAGTACAGAAACACTTCAAGTTGCTCCCAAAGTACTTGTTGGCCATGTATGACACAGGTGCCAGGTTTTGACATTAGGTCTGACCGTCACCCAACAAGAAGACAGTAAGAGAATGGCACTGTGCTGTTATGCCTCACCCCCACAGTCAGTGTAGTTAGTCCAAATCTAGTTTGAGAGTGGGAAAAGAAAGTAAAAAGTAAAGTATAATACATCAGACAGCAGAACAGATATGAGGAGGGGATTCTTATTCTAAGGCCTTCCTTCAAGAAGACAAATGGTTTCCACCTCCCTCATATTGGGTCCACTTTGATATGGGAAAATGCATGCCGTGCCTATTGCAAAAATCTTTTGCAGGGTTCTAGAGGACATACCTTCATTAATTGGTAGAAAATGCGTGCATCAACCCAGCTGGATCAAAATTCACAGGTCTTTTTACTATACCCCTTTGTTGTTTAAAACTGATTTAAGAAAACGACCCCGTTTCTTTTTTTTATTTTCCTTTTTTTTTTTAATAAAAAAAGGATTTCACTATTTCTCCTTATTTATCTGAGTTAATGACAACTTTGCCACCATTTGCACAAGCATTTAACTTCTTACAATACAAACACCTCCACTGTGGTAAGGAAAGAGCTATATGAAGTGTGAAGCTACACTTTTGTTATGACCCGGAACCCTGAAGTGCTACATTATCAGGCAGGCATTTCTGCCATTTTCTTATACATTAGCACAACATACAAGTATGAGTTTTCACCCGTTTTAGGGGTGGATTCTGTCATAGCCACACACCTTTCTGGGTCAAGTGGAAAGTCTAACTTCTAAAACAACCAGATTTTTCAAATCTCCAGGAGACCTATTCACTGTAGAATATGGTGAAGCTGGTGAACCATCAATGTCCCTGGACTCTAGGTATGCAAATATGATGAATATTGTACTTGTGATACTCCAGCCCTGCGTCAAGAACATTACCAGAATTAGCCCTGGCTCAGGGACCATAGTTTAGACTGCCTTGCACAGCATGTCATGTCACCTACTGGATCCACAATAGCTCTTTCACTAAATGAAGACAGATTCGCCATTTAAAGTAACTGAGTTTTTTCATAGGGATTATGGATTTTTGAACATGGCTGAAATCAAATACATGTTTTTAATATTAATTTATGAAAAACACATGTGGCTTGTGATCTCACTGCAACATGCATATTCCGAGTCACTAGTCCACAGCCAAATCTCAGGAGCCCTTACGGCAAGCACTTGCTTCCTCCCACCGCTCAGAACCAACAATGCTAGCTCCACATTTTTATTACCTTGCACAATTACTGACCCTTCCCCTATCTTGCTTAGACAATTAGGACACTCTTGCTATGTTTCTCACAGGCTGTAAAATTCTACAACCCACTTTGATAGGCACTAGTATCCCAATTACTGTGTCAAGATACTAACATCAAGATATCGCTGAGAAACAAAAGGCTTGGATACATAAACTGGCTGGCTGCCTGTTGAGGGGAAAAAAACACAAAATACAAACCACTTATTTGGAAGGAAAAAGCCCTGGCGAATACAGTCTAAAGGGTTTGTCTCCCCATTTTCCTTACTGCAAGATCCAATTTTAGTTTTAATTTATAGAACTTTTACTGAATGGTATACATCCATTAAGATCACTGACCTTCTTCCTTCCCCACAAGTCCATCTGTAAGACATGTTCTCCTCAGTAAGTCAGATGGATATTGAGAAATGATTTAAATGATTTTTAATGCACTGCATTTGTATATGAGCATTATATTAAAAAAGAAGCTTAAATACACTCTGTGCATTAGAATTTTATCATTGCAAACCAACATTAGAGAAGACTGCCATCGACTTAAAAACAAAAAAGACATTCTTATAAGTGGAAAATCAATCACCAAAACCACTAAATGTCACAGCTCAACATTCCAGAGAAGCACTGATAATTGTTAGTTATACACTGCACAAATGATGTATGTCCTCAGTCAAGGAAGTAGGTGCCAGTTTTTTAGGAAACTGTACATATATTGATTTTACATTTATTTAATGTGGCTGTTGTAAGACACTTTATTCTTCTGATAAACTATGATTGCTTATCAAAAGATTCTATAATTCAAGAGAAACATTCATAACGTGTGTGAAAATGAAAACCACCAGCCCACAGAAATCATGCCCACAAAATCCAATTTTGTGGATTTATAGCAGAAAGGCATTAAACTACTGTCTTGCAGGAACAGCAGAGTAGTCACTGAAGTATAACTGGCACAGCAGTAATGATTAAGGTGACATGTCCTCCTGCCACAGCTGTTAATCAGCTTAATACCAGTTACATTATTGACATTCTCGTAATTACTTTTCCTACGGCATGTTTGTGCAAAACATATTTGACTTTAATTTTGAGTATTCAAAGGTGAGTCCAGTTCTCAAAATGGATGGTCCAAGCAATGATGCTAAATCAAGGAATTAACTCCACAGGTATCACAATTATCTCAAGTGTAATACTGAGGACTACCTGCTACCTCATTAAATATATAAAGGGGTTTGTTGTACCTTGCCATCTTCTGAGCAAACACCCATGTGTTCTCCGCTTTCATCCAGGCTGATCTGATTTATCTTCACTGGGCTCTACAGAAAAAAAAGAAAGAAAAAACACTTCTGAAGTTGACTTTAAAGTTACATCACCAATGACATGCTTTAACATCCCCCACACTTCCTGAGATTTATGTGGTAATGGTGGTGTAACATTTAGTTGCACAAATCAAAAAACCCACAGAAAAAGTATTTCTACGACAATGTCAAAAGACAGCCTTTTCACCAGCCGTTTGCCTAACAAAGACATTTGGCATTTTTTTGCAGTTACACACCTCAGGGCTCTGAAGCACTTATGAAGTGCCAGGCTCCCAGACCTTGAGCATCTGCAGCTGCACACCACAACTATTCATTAAGAACCTCTCCTGTTACCAAAACTCAGCACAAAACACGCTGACCACACAGGCATCAAGGCAACTGAAAATTCTTCTGGTTTGGTCTGATGGCTATGCTGGTAATAATTTCTTCCTTCAAATCCCTTCTCTTGCTCTCATTTTTGCCGCTAATAGTGTTCTCAGAAGCGAGTATCAGAAGGTACTGAAGTGCAACATAGGTGTACTCATTCTTAGACAAATACTGAGAAAAGCCTGAAGA